CTATCCTATCTAACAAAAGAGTAATATGCAGATTGACCATCACTCCAACCTCAAGATGGCTGCCCCCATGTGGTCAAAGATCCTACCCCTATGTGGACAGAAGATGGCCAGCAGGGGAGGACAGTTGGGAGGCACCAGGCCTGCAAGGGAGGGCAGTTGGAGGCGATCATCCCTGTAGTAGAGGGCAGTTAGGGGTGTCCAGGCTGGCAGAGGAGGGAAGTTGGGGGTAAGTAGGCTGGCAGGGGATCAGTTAGACATCAATCAGGCTGACATGGGAGTGGTTAGGGGCAATCAGGAAGTCAGGCAAGCGATTGGTTGGGAGCCAGAAGTCCTGGATAATGAGCCTGATATCCCAGATTGGAGGTGGTGCAGGCTGGGATGAGGGACAACCCTCCAGCCTTGCATGAATTTTGTGCACCAGGCCTCTAGTTATAAATACTGCAATGAATATAGGGGTGCATATATCTTTTTTAGTTAGTATTTTGGATTTCTTCAAATACCCACAAGTGAAAGAATTCCTCGATCATATGGTAGATGTATTTTTAATTTTTTGAGGAACTTTCATATTGTATTCATAATGGGTGCACCAATATACAATCCCACCGATGTAGTACACAGGAGTACCCTTTTCTCCACATCCTTCAACATTTGTTGATTTATTTTTAAGTAATATTTTAAAATAAATTTGATTTTTACTATTTAAAAAAATTCTGAGTTAATTTCCGAGAGAGGAAGGGGGAGAGGTAGAAATATCAATGATAAGAGATTCATTGATGAGCTGCCTCCTGCACAAACCCCTACTGGGGATTGAGTCTGCAGCTACATCATGTGCTTTTGACAAAGGATTGAACCATGACCTGGTTTGTGGATTGACGCTCAACCACTGAGGCACACCTGCATGGCTGATTTATTGATAAGTCATTCTGACTGGTGTGAGGTCATCTCTCTAGTGGTTTTGATCTGCATTTCCCTAATGATCTGTGCATCTTTCCATGTGTTGGTCAACCACCTCAGTTCTCTTTGGAGAAATATCTATATTCATGTCCGCTGTCCATTTTTCATCTGTTTCTTTGATGCTAAGCTGTATGAATTCTTTTCATATTTTGGATATTAACCTCTTATTGCATATAATAGTTGCAAATAAATTCTCCAGTAGGTTGCTTTTTTGTTGATAGCTTTCTCTGTGGTACAAAAGCTTTTAAGTTCGATATAGTTCCATCTGTTCATTTTTCCTTTTGTTATCTTTGCCCTAGGAGACTTATCCAAAAAAATATTGCTAAGACCAGTGTACAAAATTTATTGCCTGTTTTAGGAGTTTTATGATTTTAGGCTTTACATTTCCAATTTGTCTTTTAACATATTTTTTATTTTTTGTGATATAAGTGGTCTAGTTTCATTTCTGGAATAAGATGTTTTTGTGTATGTTTCTATATTATGGTGAATGGGATTATTAATATAAATATAAATGGGATTAGGTAAAAAGGATAAAAATACTAAGGTTTCTCTGACATACTGCCATATTACCACCCAGAGAAGTGATTACCAACTTGCATTTCTGGCAAACTATATGAAATATGTTGGTAAGCTTATTAAAAAGCTTTCTCCAAAGAACTCACATTTTCCTTGTAAAGAATTTAAATGTCTATTTAAAAAAAGTATTAAAGTATTCAAAAGCCCATCAACCAGAAATAGTTATCTTGTGAACTTTATTCATTCCATACATCTCTTATAGACATATGTGTACATACAATTTTACAAAAATGGGTCATATGCTGTATTTAGTAAATATAGCAAATTTTACTTGGGTTTAACAAGATGAAAAAATGTGAAAGTGAAGAAATGCCAAAATTGAAAATTTTCTACAAGAATCTAATTCTGAGTTTCCCTTGAAAATTGAGGACAATTATAGAAAACATTCAAGAGGCTGGAATCATTTATTTCTAGTGTCATGTATATTTTATTTAAAGACAGTATGACTCCTGTTTTAAAAAATGAAACTAGCACACTTAAGAGTCCCTCTATTTCCTGGTTATATTATTTCTATATAGGCAATGTTCAAATATTTGAGTCTTATAATTACCCTTTAATTCGCCCCCTACTAGGGATGAGACTGTAAACTGGGCATGTGCCCTTGACCGGAATCAAACATGGACCCTTCAGTCTACAGGCCCGCTGGCTCTATCCACTGAGCCATAATTCCTAGAGCTGTTTTATTATCTCTTTAGCTTTTTTCATTTTTTCCTCCAACCTGTTTTCTCAGTACCTTTATCTTGTATTTTGTTTTCTAAGGTTTCATTTTTCTAGTTTTTCATCTTCATTTATTCTCTTCAACCTAATTTCTATTTCCTTTCATCTCTTCTTTGAACTTGTTTCAGAGAACATATTTCTCCTTTATTTTTTTAGTATTAAGAAGTCATTGTGCTCTATGGCAAAAATTTTAAGGCAGTGTAATTCAAATTGGGAAGTGAAATCAATTTAGTGATTTGTACCCAACATTAAAAACTGTTACTAATTAGGAAACATCAGAATGCATTTTGCATAAGGAATAAAATTTGTTGTACAGGCCAAACTAAAAACAAAAACAAGTTATAAAGCTGCAGTTCCAAGTCCCCATTTACTAGACTGGCTAGCACATACATGACAGAAATGGCCCTTCAGCAGGATTTATCCCTAGGCTCCACCTCCTCTGTAATTTATCAAAAACAATTTCCAAAGAGATGCTTATCATGTCCTACTGTTATTTTCTTTGTACTAATGAGAATAAGGACAATCAGCTTCCTGCTATAGGTTGGCTATACTGCTCCAATTTAGTCCAGATTTCACCATAAGCCTAATAAGTATGCTTTGGGAGGTTTCTTTGTTATTAAAAATTGCTGGAGAATTTTAAGACGAACATTTAAATATTTTAATGTACTGGATGATTTGGTTGGCCCATAAGTTATTTAGCCAAAAGACATTTCTTTCTGCTTAGATCACAAGAAGTAAACTGCTAGGACTCTAACAGATGTAAACATAGGTGATTATATTTAATTTTTAAAGGCAGTCATATATAGTTGAATGATAAAATAGCTCTGATGGACAACTCTTATTAGCTGAAGTATCTTCAAAAGAAGAATCACTGAAGAATTTGAAATCATGAAAATGATGTCCAAATGCTTTAATATTGCTACAATAATCCTTCAGTTCAATAGCAAGCAATAGAATGTGAATCCTATGGCCAGATATGTATGGCTTTCCAAGAAACTGGATCCATCCTGTGATGCAGTTGGTATTCACAATTCTTGCTGGGACCAGAGCTGCAGGAAGTCAATCACTTTTTCATTTTTAAAGGAGGAAAGGTAAGTACAGGTAAATGGAACTTTGCTAGCAAAGATCCCAACATTCTCTTCTCTTGATTAGCAATACCCATGAACATTTTTGTTGTTTGTTGTTAATCCTCACCAGATGATCCCCCTCCTCCACCCCATTGCTTTTTTCGAGGGAAGCATCAATGCTAAAGAGACACATGGATTGTATGCCTCACGGATGCATCCAGACTGGGGTGGGGAGTGAACCTGCAACTCAAGTACATGCCCTTGACTGGGATTTGAACTCATAACCCTTTGTTTTAACCATTGGAATACACCAGCCAAAGACCAAAGGAACATTTTTCAGTCATTCTGCTCCCATGACTGCACTTCTTCCTCTGATCAGTGCTGTTGCCTATGATTCTTTTTTGGCTGCTCCTACATATACAAATACTCCTGGGGGCAATCTGTTTAATGCTGCACATCCACAATTACCCAAACATTGTCAATTCAAGGCTAGATCACTACGCTCAATTCCAGTTCCTAGTTCCAACTTTCTGAGCTTTGCCTACACACACTATCGCTGATTAAAGTTAAACTGATTGCATCATTTTCACTACAACTCCCACTACCTGCCCTGTAAATCCTGGTCTCTTCCTGCTATATTTTCAGGCTTTGTGAATGGCATTATTGTCTGACAATTCAAGTCAAAACCCTGAGTGACATTACTTTTCTTTCCAACAAACCTTTTCAATCTTATTGCCCTCCTCCTACTGACTAGACTTGGATAATGTCAATTCTTGTATAATAAAGACTGGGCATCTTAACCTTGTGGAAGAAACAATATATAAAAATGCTATATAAAAGGTATTAAGTTTTACTGTTTGTTGAACTGTTCAGTGCAGCTGGATTAGATGATCCAGAAGAAGCCTTGCATTGCATCCTTTTGTTACAAAACTGCTATTCATCAGTTAATTCTCATGTTTATTATCCCTTGCTTCTGCTAGGGAAAAAAAGCACTAATGTTTTGTCGAAACCGGTTTGGCTCAGTGGATAGAGCGTTGGCCTGCGGACTGAAAGGTCCCGGGTTTGATTCCTGTCAAGGGCATGTACCTTGGTTGTGTGCACATCCCCAGTAGGGGGTGTGCAAGAGGCAGCTGATCGATGACTCTCATCGATGTTTCTAACTCTATCCCTCTCTCTTCCTCTCTGTAAAAAAATCAATAAAAATATATTAAAAAAAAAAAAGTACTAATGTTTTACCAACTTGATTTTTTAATAACAGCAGTAGCACAAATCTTAGGATTCTCAAAACAGTTCTAATTAGGGGGCAAACTAAAAATGAAACCAAAGAAAGAGGGAATGTTAAATTTAATAACAAAAGGAATACTAGGCCACCATATCTCCTCCTTGACATACATACCCTCCACTTCCCAAATCATCAATGTTTGTTGTACAAGGGATCAAAAGCAGCCCTTGGGGAGCATTATCCCTCAAATATGGACTAGGATTCAAAGAGATACAAAACTAAGCACCTCTTTTATTACACCCTCCCTCCCCCCAAGAAAGAAAAAGTAGAGAGACTTTCAGGTTAAAAAAACCAAAAACACCCTAAAATATTCTTGTAGCTGCCTTGGGAGATCTCGGTCCTTCCACAAAGAGGTGGCTTCATGTCTGCAGGAGGCTATTTGGACTAAACCTGAACTGAGTCCATTACTCATTCCCTCTCCGGCTCTTCTTGTGGCTCTTCTTAGATCTGAAATGGCAACACATACACGTTATTAAATTTAACACCTGCTCAAGGAGCTGGGCAAGGACTTTTGAGGAAAACGGGTATGGTGACACTGATGGGAACTGAGGTGACACATAATATTCATTAAATGACCTGGTATTTTATGTCTCAGAGTAACACAATGAGTCCAGCTAGTATTACTGTCCAAAATTTACCACTGAGGAAAATGACCTCTGAGATATTAAGAATGAACGTAACAGTATAGCAATATAGACATTTCTATTGAAAGCTTATCAAATGAAAGTGACTTGTCCATTGTCACTCTTAAAAGTGTTAAAAGTTGGGATTAAGTGCAGGCCTTTTGAGACCAAAACTCTTACCCCTATCACTATCCAAAGCACATAACCCTATTACCTACAAAGAAAAAACAACATAAACATATATAATTCTAGTTAATTCTCAGGGCAACAGGCCAATTTTCTCCTGTAATGAAGGAGATAAATATCCCCATCAAAGCAAAATTTAAGGCCAAATTTAATTGTGATTGTGCTTTAATTTCTGAATAAAGAGTGAAATTCTCAAATCAAAATAGAGGTCAATCCATACCTTTCAGGAGATTTTGAGTGGCTCCTGTGTCTGTGACTACGGTGATGACCTGGGAAAGAAAAGGCCAATAAATGAATGAGATTCTACCCTCCTATTCCTCTGAAGTCCTTTTCATCTCCCCCCAAACTTTCCATTGGCTTATTGCTTTATTGGTCTATGCTAGGGACATCTCTGTTTGATAGCAGCTCTCTGAAATGGTGTGTGTAGGGTGGGGAGGAAAAATGAACCCACTTCATATGCATCCAGGGCTTTATGGCTCATCACACAAACGTCACATTCAGTACCATTACTCTATTAAGTCTCAATGCTAAAATTTCAGATGATGAAAAAACTGAGGCTCCTCCTCTTAACAGCAAAGCCTATAAATGAGAGTCAAGATGTCAACTCTTAATTTTTAAATTCTAAGTCCATTTCCTTTTCTTCTAAGCAATAACATAAGCACTCCAGTATTGCAAGAGGTTAATTGTCCCTATTACATTTCTTTGTTAATACAACCAATAGCAAAAGGCCCAAATGTTATACCTGGGGACTTGGAGCGGGATCTGTGTCGTCTATCTCGGGACCTGCTGCGGTGACGTCTTGGACTTTTGCTCCGATGCCTCTCTCGGCGAGGGGAAGGGCTGTGGAAATCACTGGTCAGACTCCCATATCTGCCTGACAATTTTATCTCAAAAACAGTATCCCCTCTACCCCCCATTGCCCCAATTCCTATCCTTCTTTACAACAACTCATAAAGGCCTACCTCCTCCTTTTTGGAGACCGACTCCTCCTGAATGGAAAGAAAACAGATGAAGAGGAAAGAGCCTTAGTAGGTAGGTGCCTCGAATGTTGTACATTGTAAAAAATTGCCCCAATTTTTAACCCATCTCTTTTGTCATGTAACTTATAGCACCCTCCAATCCAAGTGACTTGCTTTGGCCAATGGGATATTTACAGATGTGATACAGCTGTATAGTGGAGAGCAACTTGCATGATTGGGCTTGTTTGCTCTTGAATTCTGTCATTACCATGAGAATGTGCCTAACCTAGCCTAGAATGAGACATACATAGAGAAGAGATGAATTGCCCCAGTCATCCTAGCTAACTAAGGCCATCTCGTACTGTAATCAGGTGAGTGAACATAACATACTAAAAAAACTGCCTCGCCAAGCCCAGGCTTATATCACTGACTGCAGACTTGTGAACTTAAATAAATGATTATATTGTCTGCCACTGAGGTTTTGTGGGTGGTTATTTCCCAGCAATTAACACATTGGGCAAGCAAACATCTTCCATGACTGGCATTTTCCTTCCCTGAAGTCCGCACTTTGAGTCTCCGGTGCTTAAAAGTTTGCTGGAAGAGGCAAATGACTAGGGCCTTACCTTCTAGGAGACCTGCTCCTACTTCTCCTGTAGCGCAGTGTGGGAGAGCGGCGGGGCTTGTCCAAGTCTCGGTAACTTCTCCGGCGGTGATCAGGCGATGGTACCCTCTCCAACTGTAAATGCGGTAATGAGATGCATGGATCAGTGATGAGCACAGGCTTCTAGAGAGCATTTAGAAACACTGCTACACTGCCCTCCCTACCTGTCCCAAATTCTACCTTTAAGTGATTCTTTTATTTCAGAGAGGGAGAGGAAGAGAGACAGAAACAGCAACGATGAACATCAATGGTGAGAGAGAATCCTCTACGGCTGCCTCCTGTATGCCCTCCACTGGGGATCAAGCCCACAACCTCGCCATGTGCTTTAACTGGGAATCAAACTGTGACCTCCTGGTTCATAGGTTGACACCCAACCGCTGAGCCACACCAACTGGGCTGCCTTCAAGTGGTTTTAAAAACAGTAATTTGGAAAACATGGAGGGATAACTTGGGGGAAAAAACTCCAATTAAAAAACCTTTCCAATAATTCCATTATTGTTCTAGTGTTGGTACCATTATTCTGGGACTTACTGAGTGTAGTGAGAGATTACTGATCATGTTTATCTCCTTAAGAAGTTGAGTTTCCAATGGAAAAGAAAACATGTAAATGTAAAATCATTAAGGTTAAGTACAAACTCATGGTGTACTTTAATCTTAAAAAAAATTTCCGCCTAGCTAGTAACACTGACCAAACCCAGAACAATAACCACGTACAGTACCTAACTTATGGTATCGAAATATTGGAGCTCAGTAAATGGAACCAAAGGCTCCTTGGAAAATGGCTAATTCCAGGTTGGGGGCAGAAGCTAGTAAAAGATGACTGGAACGTATATCAGAAAGCAAGGAGCTGGGACTACTATGATTGTATCAAAGTCAAGTTGAGGGACTCCACTGGCCAAAGATGGGACACTGTGAGCATCAAGAGAAACAATAATGGTTCAAAGCATTAAAAAAATGCTTAAATCCATGAGTTTACAATCCTACCAAGGACATTCATCTTGGGAGGCTATTCTAGAATCAACTAATTTTAAAACTGATAAATGAAATGTTAAGATGCTTCAAGGTAATTGGTGGGGGGCAAATGGGTAAATATGTAGAGGAAACAAACTGGCTATGAGTTGATCAACATTGAAGCTAGGCTGATGGGTAAATTGAAGTACAATCTCTCCACTTTTGTATGCGATTAAAATTTCCTATTTAAAAAAATATGCCTACTTTTGGCTCACTCACCACAGAAAAGCACCTCAGCTTTACATGGCTTTGAATTCCTGAATGATTGTGCTTCCCTCTGCACTCAAGTTTAAGGGAGCCTGATGGCTCACAGATACACTTCCATTTATAATGACTCAGACTCCATGAGCTAGTAGTATTTCTTGTATGTTCCGCTAACCTCTTTCCATATGTATATTGTTACTTGAATTTTAATCACAAATGTTTTAGGTCCTTTTTAAACTTACCATAAGCATTATCCACATTATACAGAGAAAACTGAGATTATGTAATTTGCAAAAGGTTATACTACTATATACAGCAGAGTTGAGAATATGAACCAAGCTCTATTTTAAAGCCCATATTCTTATTGACTAAATACTGCACTTTTTGGTTAAAGAAAGTTAAAAACAACAAAACACTATTCCCCTTCCCTGTAATCATCCCTTCTTCCCCCATAAGCTCCCAGGTACCTGACCTTCTCATCCTCTTCCTCCTCCTCTTCACTGGACTCCACATCATCCATGTCCTCTTCGAGAGCACTAACCCGAGGCTCCAACTGCTCCGCTTCCTCTAGCACATAGCGTTTCTACAGAAAACACGGTGAGTGTGAGGGGCCTTGATATCTATGTCCAGAAGTCCCAACACTGGACTCCTGAGATTCATTTCAAAGACATCCTTAACAATTTAAAATGCTCATAAGGTGTTTAATATACCAGAAATCTATATAGTCTTTAAATTCCCCTGTAAACAGATACAAAGCTGAAGGGACATCTCCATTTCCTATTGCTTCTATTCTCTGTGATCTTATATTCTAAGGTCACTGGGATATCAATCAAGATAGGTATAGCCTCAAATTAAAAAAAAAAAAAAAATGTGGACTCCATATATAAGGGCCATAAATTCATGGCTGGGACCGTGTTGGCTGGAAGTTCTGCCAGCAGTGGCTCAGATCAGAATTGCCCCAAGAGATCCACTAAGGCTCAGTCCAGTTTGGGGGCTGAAGAGTGTACTGGGTCTTGCTTTAGAAGAGCACCAAGTCTCTACAAAACCCAAGATTTAGAATCATGCATTTTTTAACAAGGCACAGGAAATTCATCTGGTTCCATTTTCTTCTGAGATGTGGCTTACTCAGGATCACCACAGTTTGGGATCTAGGATCACATCAGATAGGGTATCCAGAATCCCTAACGCTCACCAGATTTGGCAGTGAATAAAATCAATATGTAATTCGCAGTATTTGTGTTTGATGAAATTAGAATTCATTCCACAGAAGCTCCTTGCCAATATGTCAGGACACATCAGAAGCTAAACTGATGATCTATGGGTTGCTTAATAAGAACAGAATCAGAGCAAGAGCATCACTTCTTAAGGGTCACTTAATCCAAGACATATAAAAGGCCCAAACCTCTTGCTGACATAACATGTAACAAAAATTGAAAAAAAAATTTCAGTTTCTCTGTCCTCAGTGAGGCTTCTAGTCTCCATGCAAACCACCTCATATCAGTAGGTTTGCTTCAAGCTGACTAGACTTTGGAACCCTTCGCTAAAATCTGATTGCAATTCTAAGTACTTCAGTTCTTTTGCATATTTCTAAAAATAATAATAGCAGACAATATAATAATAATAAATGTAATCCACAATGCTTAGTAAGAGAATTGGGTCCTAAAAGCCAGTTTTCAGATTTGAAATCTCATTCTCTTCACCACATGGACTATATATATATATATATATATATATATATATATATTTTTTTTTTTTTTTTTAATATATATTTTATTGATTTTTCACAGAGAGGAAGAGAGAGGGATAGTCAGAAACATCGATGAGAGAAAATCATCGATCAGCTGCCTCTTGCACACCCCCTACCGGGGATGTGCCCGCAACCAAGGTACATGCCCTTGACCAGAATCGAACCTGGGACCTTTCAGTCTGCAGGCCGACGCTCTATCTACTGAGCCAAACCGGTCTCGGCGTCTACACCACAAGGACTATAGTATCCAGGTTGGAACAGGAGACACTCATTCAGCAATAAAAGGAAATAAACTATTAATACATGTAACAACATAGATGAATTTAAAAATAATTATGTTGGGGAGAAGACAGACTAAAATTAGAATGTACTGTACTAATCCCAAAATGCAACTAATCTATCATGACAAGTAGCATATATATGTATATATAAGTGGTTGAATAGGGGCGGTGAGTGGGATTATACAGAGGGAAACTTTTGGGGTGAAGGACATTTTCACTATTCTTAATTGTGATGAGTTTCAAGGGCAAATACACATATGTTAAAACTTACCAAACTGTATACTTTAAATGTACATAGTTTATTCTATGTCAATTATATCTTAATAAAGCCATTTAAAAGAAAGCCTATGCTCAAATGAAATATCTCTCTCAAGCCCGATATGTTATTATACTTAAGAGAAAAAGGAGCAGCTCTGGTTGGCAAATGTGGGGCTGTCTCCTCTTATTCCTTCTAATAGTCTTAAAATAGTCCCATGGGGCAGACCACTAGTTAATCTAATTTTTTATTTTATAGAAGGGAAAATAAAACCAGGTCCCACAGCAAGTCAGCTGTAATAATTACCCAGAAACTTAGGTCTTCTAGTTCCCTGTTCAGTCATCTCTCTCTTCTCTTTAGAAATCTCTATTCCCTTTCTTTTTAGCTACCTACTGTATCTGTTTTTCCTTTATATTTTCAACAGTTTTAAAATCGTACTCTGTATAAGCTGTTCCAGAAAGGCATTTCATGGACAATCATTTACCTTTGGAAAAGGGAAACAGATGGTTACAGTGCTTTTTTAGGGATTAAAGTCTGCTCCTACTCCTGACAATCCTTTTGTTTAATATCCTGAATTGTATATGAAGGGCAATTTATGATATATGAAGGCCGGATTAGGGGGGGAGTGACTCATATATGAGACTTTTATCTCTTACCTGTAGCCGGGGCAGGATGATATCACAGACTCTCTCGCTGTGTAGTAGTTCATCAATGAACTCATCTACATGCATCAATTCAAACTCTAATAAAAGAAACATCATAAGCTCAACAATTTAGAAATAAACTTAAATAGCCAAAAAGTAGTTGTGAATTCTCTGCAGCTCCTTTTCACTAGTGAAGCTATTACGGTGTGGCCATTACACAGAATTGGGGAGTACTATTAAAGCTGGACTTAAACTAAGCCCTTGAAGCCTTCACCACCTGTCTTCATCCATTCAACTCACATTATTGAAAGCATCTATATGCCAGGCCTCATTTAGGAGCTGGGCATAAAAGGATAAATGGAGCTGTCCCAATTAGCAGAAGAGATAATACAAGCACAAATAGTTGGAAATTGCACAGAGGTAATGTTCTTAAATAGATCATATAACTAAAGTGCAATTTTTGAATATAGAATGTGTGTCTTATATGGTAAATGGAAAAATTTCGGAATTTCTGTAGTAAACATTACTTTAGTAGTTCACAGCCACGGGTAATTTTGCCCCCATATCTAAGGTGAGGAGTGCTATTGGCTGCTAATGGGTGGAGGCCAGGGGTATTAAATATCCTACAATGCACAGACCAGCTCCCAGCTGCCAATAGATTGAGAAACCCTATCTTACCTTAGTTAACATAATCCCATATAATAAAACCCTAACCTTCTACTGCTTAATGATACATGTAGAAGGGAAAGGCAAAAACAGTTACCAATTTTTTATGGCACTAAGTGAGAAAAGATTATGATTGCACTAACCCACTTTATCACTAAAGAGTGTCTTTAAGAGGCATGGAGCTGCACCTCTTGGACATACTTACTATTTTCCAGTGGGACTCCTACCTCAGTATGAGCAAGTACACTTAGTCTATACGTACACTGTAGTGTGATGTCTAGTGCTGTAGAGGCCAGCAGAAAGAACTGTGAAGATGTAACCTGGAAAACTAACTTTGGTAGGTTTGGGGAAGGCTTTTATGGTGGTCATTCTAGAGCTAAATATTATGGAATGGAGCGCATGTGGAGGGAGCATGTGACACAGGCTGGGATTAAAGTAAGATGCTCACTTCAGCAGCGCATGTACTAAAACTGGAAGGAACACTACAGAGAAGATTAGCATGGCCCCTGCGCAAGGATAGCACACAAACTGATACAACGCTCCATATTATAAAATAATAGGCAGTCAGAAATAAAATAATTATTTTATTATTATAAAATAATGGGCAGATAGAGTAGGCTGGTGAAGGCCAACCTAATAGTCTAATGAGGAGATAAAGGGGAGCACTCACTACGTGATTATGAGGGCAGAAATGCTGGTGAAATAACTGGCTCAGGAATGAAGGTTCAATCATATGGCACCACACTTACCTCCATTTCGGTTCTGACTCTTAATTTTTCTATAGTCATTGTATAGGGGCTCCAAGTATTTGTAGCAATCAATTGCAGTGCCTGTCAGCCTCATATAAAGTGCTCCCAACATGCGGACATACCTGTCAGATCAATGACAGTGAAACAACAGTTCTTCAAAAGTTCTAAAAGATTCTAAAAGTTCATCCTTAAAAGTTCCTGAGTTTTACAACTGGCTTTTCTTATGACAGTATTGGATAAACAAGTTCTTTTTCTTTGGCAAATGAGAAAGCTGCAATTTTAGAGGCAGCATGGGGCAGTAGGAAGAACTAAAATATGGAGTCTTGGGTTCAAGTTCCGATTCTACCACTTACTAGTTGTGGGAATTTGGGATGTTTTGTTTAACTTTCAGAATCTATTATATCACCTGCAAAAGATATAACCTATTTACCTCACCGATAAATAGTCTAATGAGTGATTAAAAATGAAAGCATATGATATATTTACTAACAAGAACTAATACACATAGACATAAATATATAAATTGTTGCTAGGCAGCAGAACGCTGATTTAGAAAGAATTTCAAAATCATCTGGGTTCAGCCAAAACCAGTTTGGCTCATGGATAGAGCGTCGGCCTGCGGACTGAAAGGTCCCAGGTTAGATTCCGGTCAAGGGCATGTATCTTGGTTGCGGGCACATTCCCAGTAGGGGGTGTGCAAGAGGCAGCTGATCGATGATTCTCTCTCATCGATGTTTCTAGCTCTCTATCCCTCTCTCTTCCTCTCTGAAAAAAATTAATAAAATATATATATTTAAAATAATCATCTGGGTTCAAATGACTTACTTTGTTATTTGCTTTCTCAATTCTTGTAAAATGCAGAAGATAGCACCTAATTTGCTGGTTTGATATACTAGCATGACAAAATACGTATACAATGCTAAGCATAGCGCAGGGCACACAGTAAGTACCTAACAAAAATTAGCTATTTCCTAGCTGTTAATGTTTTGTAAGATTCTTTCCTTTTCCCTTTCCTTTATAACCCACTACTCATCAAATCTCTACTTAAATAATATGGTAGCAAAGAATATATATCTGCAACCAGCTTTGCCTCTTTTTACCTGTCTGTGAACTATTATTATGTATGTCTCTTATCTGTGAGCTCCTTGAGAATGGATAATAAGAGCAGCTCACATTTTGGGATGTTTACTATGCAATATACACTGTACAGTGAAATTTATAGCACTATCTTCTGTAACCCTCACATCTCTCCTGAGTTAATATTTCTGTCTTCATTTTTCAAGTAAAGAAAATAAAGCTTAGAAATTAAGAAACTTTTCTAAGGTCACAGTTAATAAGTAACAGAGTCTGGACATCCCAGCCTTTTGTCACATGCTCCCTATATCTAACACCAAAGTCTTCCATCTTATCTTCTACAGCATGTTGTTTTCTTTACCCCTGAGCATCAGTGATTTTATGAAATACCTTTTTTGGGGGAATAAGTTACCAATGCTGGAAAAGTAAACATCAATCAAAACACAAATTTAAGAGTTCAAAAGAAAAATCCTAACGTAGGACTCTGTAGAAATGAGATATGTTAACACTCCTCTTAACCAAAACCAATTTCTGGACTATTGAAAATGAAGCTTTTATATTAGTCAACATTTTACTCACTTGAAGTCTTCATTTTTTATAAACTCAACAATGATATCTTTCTCTGGCTGAATCTGAAGCATCTTCAAGGTCAAACACAGAAAGGGAGTTGGCTTTATGTTGCCACCATAGACGCCACCGACAAACCTTAACTCCATGGCTTTATCAACTACAAGTTCAGCTAAAAAATAAACACATACACACATTTCAGACATATTAAATAGGGCTTAGCTTTTCCCAATTTGAAGTTCAAGGTTTGGTCCTCTTGAATACTCATCAAAAGTTAATATTAGAATATGAACAATAAAGATTGATTTAAAAAAAGTTAATATTAGGAAAACAAATGTGCATTTAATAGTAGTAATAGGCGATAATGATAGCAGCTAACATACACTGATGAATTACTATATATCAGGCTATTCACTAAGCATTTCATTTAATTTTCATAACAAACCCTGAGGTCAAGTACTAGCACTGCCCCTGTTTTCAGCTAAGGAAAATGAGATCTAACAAAGGTTAACTGACTTGCTCAAGGTCCATAGCTAGAAAGTAGCAAGGCCTGGAATTAAATCTGAGCCATCAAACTTGAGAGTCCATGCATGTCACCATCATGTTAGAGGGGAAATAACCACATTTGGAGTTAATAAAGAGATGTTTATCTGAGCCAAACTGATGATATGCCAGAAAGCAAGATCTCAAATGCTCCAGAGAATGACAGTTTTGCATTTCTTTTTATACATTGGAATTAAGAAGAGAAATAAAATTACATGATAGGATAGTTAACAAATTATTTGCTCCCCAAAAAGGATTACTCTGACATTTCAATGGTGTATTAATAAGCTAGATGCACAAGAACAAAGGGCAGGGCTTGCTTAAGGCAAAGTTAAGGCTTTTACTAAAAACCTTACAGGGGCTTGACTACCCACAATGACTTGCCCAGTTCAGACTTTATGATCAGAGCACCCTCGAGATAATGACTAATTCAAGCGAGGGGGTGTCCAAATGCATGTTAAGAAACCAATAAATTAGTTTACCTGTTTTTACTTATGTAGACATGTTTGTGTAATGAAAAATTTAATCTCATCGAAAAGTTTTCACACAAAAGAAGAAAATTTTCTATTTTATTACTGTAATTTTAAATTTTTACTGAAAAGATCTATCATTCACCATGAGCAAACAAATATACACAACTGGGTTGTGGCTTAGTACTCAGAACATCAGCCTGCAGGCATTAAAACTGCTACAAAAAGTCACACCACAGGCAACAACCAACCAATAACCACTCAGATATGGTGTGATTATGTGCTAATCATTCTCTGAACATTGCTTACAAGACGTGAATCTTCAGTTTAAATATGTAGACTACAGTTGTAGATATGTGATATTTATTTATGTCACTGGTATTACTACAGTGTTTTTTCCTAATATATGGCTTAGTCGCTAAAATGTTTTAAAACTAACAGTAAATGCCCACGGGCGGAACCCTGGGGGAGCAGCGAAAGGAGGTCCCGGAGGCGCGCACATTGCGCGCAGAGAAGGGATGGTCGGCTGTGCCGCGGGATTGCCCTGGTGGGAAGGAGACAGGGGCTCCAGACTGCTCTGAACGCCACCTCCAACTCCACTTCCAACTAAACTGAACCCCAATACCGGGCTCATTGGGGGAGAGACTAGACTGTTTGGTAGCAGGCGAAAATCGAGGGCACCTTTGTCTCAGAGGCGCCGGCAGCCTGAAACTCCTGGGGAAGTGGCGAAAATGCCAAGACAACGAAATAGATCACAAACGAAAGAAATGGAGGACAAAAAGCGACTGGATATACAGTTCAAATCTACACTTATAAGGTTGTTCGAGAATCTCCTAGAAAAGGCCGATAAAATAAACGAAACCTATGAGGATATGAAAAGGGATCAACTAGAAATAATAAGGGATCAACTAGAAATAATAAGGGATCAACAAGAAACAAAGAATACATTGTCTGAAATAAAAAATATTATACAGAGTCTTAAAAACAGAATGGAAAACCGCAAGAATCAAGTCAAAGATTTGGAACATAAAGAGCCAGAAGACACTCCTCCGCAGAAGCAAGAAGGCAGGAGAATCCAGAAAATTGAAGATAGTGTAAGAAACCTCTGGGACAACTTCAAGCGAACCAACATCAGAATTATGGGGGTCCCAGAAGATGAGAGAGAGCAAGATATCGAAAACATACTGAAAGAAATAGTGACAGAAAATTTCCCCCACCTGGGGAAAGAATTAGACTTATAAGTCCAGGAAGCGCACAGAACTCCAAACAAAAGGAATCCAAAGAGGACCACACCAAGACACATCATAATTAAATTTCCAAGAGCAAAAGACAAAGAGAGAATATTAAAAGCAGCAAGAGAAAAGCAGGTAGTTACCTATAAAGGAGCAACCATACAATTGTCAGCTGATTTCTCAACAGAAACCATGCAGGCCAGACGGGAATGGCAAGAAATATTCAAGGTGATGAATAGTAAGAACCTACAGCCAAAGATAATCTACCCAACAGAGCTATCACTCAGAATTGAAGGCCAGATAAAGAGCTTCACTAATAAAAAAAAGCTAAAGGAGTTCATCACCACCAAACCAGAATTATATGAATTGCTGAAGGGGGTTCTTTCAGAAGAGAAAGTAAATAAAGATAAAAATTATGAACAACAAATACGTAGCTATCAACAAGTGAATCTAAAAACCAAGGGAATTAAAAAAAATCTGATGAACAATATTAACTGTTGAATATAACAGAATCAGAGGTATGGAAGGGGAGTGAACTGACGATTCTTGGGGAAAAGGGGAGAGGGGGACGTGGGAAGAGACTGAACATAAACTGTGCACCTATGGATGAGGACAATGGGGGTGGGGAAAGGGCAGAGGGTGGGGTGGGAACCTGGTGGAGGAGAGCAATGAGGGGGGGTGGGGGAGAGGAACATTTGTAATATAATAATATGAATAAAGATTTATTTTTTTTAAATCAAAGAAGCCAATGGAGACACCCTTCGGAATGAGACCCTGTCATCTGTAAGCCCAAAGCCCAATACAAGTCCAGGCACACAGTAGGCATTTCGGTTTTTCTAAATGACAGATTCCTTTGCAGCCTCACCCCCAGGCTCCAGTCCTACCGGCGCTCAGTCAGGAGAACCGGGCCGCAAAGTGGGGCCGGCGCGCTTCCACTCACCCGTCAGCCCAAAGCACTCCTCCTTCCAGTACTTGGACTCGTAGATTCGAGTCCGAATGATCTTCTCCACCAAGTACTGCGGGTTGGTGCCGTGAATGCTGTGGGCATCCTTCACCGTGCGGTTCGCCATCTTAGAACGCTTTCAGTTCTATTTCCGTCGGGTCCTTTAGTGCGTCATATCCGGGTTAGAAAAAAACACACACGCACACAAAACATGAGAGGAAAGATGGAGGAAGTCTCCTTTAAATAGCTCACGTTTCCAGCGTGAAATCGGAAGTGCTGCAGCGTAGGAAACCTGCTTCCGCAAACGCTGTCGGCGATAGAATCAAGGATGGCCGCCGCACGTAGGCGTACGTACCTACGTCATGCGTCCTCTCTCAGGTAGGCGGGACCCAAGGGAGGGCGGGATTCCGAGTCAGGGGAGGACTAGACCGGAAGGGAGGGCGGGACTCCCAGGAAGGGAGGGCGGGCTGGTGACGCAACTAGGAGACAGCCTCGGGGCGGGGCTACGGCGTTTGGCGCGAAATTTTATCTTCGCCTTCATTCCGCTGCTAGTGAGGATCCCGCGTCCGCTGCCGCGCGGCGCCCCGGCTCCTGGAGGAGGCCAGCTGGTGCAGGTGAGCGTGACTGCATCCCCACGAGCTCCTGAAGCGGGGGCGGCGGGAAGCGGAGGGCTTGCTCCTCGCTTCGGGAAGGTTCGGCCCGCGGAGCGTGTGGCGGCCCGTGGGCTGCAGGGGGACCTGAGCCGCGGCGACTGAGGAAGTTGTTCTTTGTAGACTCAGTCGTGGATTAATTCAGCAGATATTTACTAAGCGATTGTGACGTGCCAGGCATCGTCACAAGGAGCGTTCCTTTCGCGCATCCCGATGGCTGAGACACCTTCGGCTCCGCCGGGGGCTGCGAGTTTGCGGGGCAGAGCCTGAAGCCGGCCGCGGAGAAGCGTGAGCGTTCCTGCCCTCAGGGCCCTGAGGCTCTCAGTCACTACCCCAACCCTCCCTTCGGTCTGCGGTGCTCTTGTGAAGCAGCGCGCCTTCCCTCCTTTGAGCCGTGGTGTAGCGAGCACCCCTGGGAGGGAAATAGGATCAGCAGAAGTTATTGTCCCATTTTACGGGTGTAGCAATTGCTCCTAGAGAGAGACTTGTCTAAGTTGACCCCACTCCCGCTGCCCCCAGTTGTGCGGGGCTTGACTCCCTCCTCTACTTCCTGTAATCTCACCCTAGAATAGAAGGGCCTTCTGTCTTGACAGTTGGAAAAGCACTGGACGTACCGGCGTGAGACAAAGAGATTCTTGCCCCGGTTTACTCTCTGTGAAACTGCAATGACTAAATATGTCAGTCTTCTGTTTGCTGTTGTCTGTAGAAATGGCCTCCCCTTCCCTGCGGTAATGGGTGCTTGTGAACGCCACTGGGGGTTTCAGATGGGAGAACGTGGGGTGCCGAGTTCCTCTGCAACAATTCTTTTTTTTTTTTTTTTTAAAGATTTTATTTCTATGGAAAATATTAATGGCAGACCATAAATATTCGAGTTAATTATTCTCATTCAGGATTTATATTAAAACAGCTTAGTATATTTAGAAAAATAAATCGTTAATAAATTTAAACATTTGTATGGCTGCATTAAGTGACTGGTGTAGGCCAACATAACTTAGTTCCACTGCCTTCATGTGAGCCCACTAGGAGCACATGTTTCCTCCACTTTCTGAAAGTAGAGCATTCCTATGAAACCTTTCATAAACTGAAATGTTCTAAAGCAAGGACATAAATACATATGGAAAATTTTTAATGTTTCCCAGGTCCCCCAAAATATCATACCAAATATGTTTAATTATTTCCAGTTTTAAGCTAAGCATAGCATCTTTATGCACTCTCTTAGGCTTTTCTGACACCTAAGGACACATCTTGCTCAGGGATAAACAAAATAAATTGAGAGAAAGCACAGATGCTTGCAGGCACAGTCAGAGCTATAGCAGCTTGATGCTGAGCTTCTGAGTGCAGTTCTAGAGAAGGAGCTTGGCTCACTGCAACAATTCTTAACCACAACAGAGGGCCGTATGTGGACTTTAGAAGGCTGATGAATCATCTGAAATTGAGTGCAAAGTTTTGTGTGAATTGTATAGGAGTTCCATAACATCAAATTAGTGAAAAAACAACCACAAAAGAGAACCACTGTCCCTTACAAATAGAACAAGGAGTTAAGCAAGTGAGCGAGTGGATTTACCATTTTGCGTTCTCCCATTTAATCCTCAGTAATCCTAGAACACTGCCTGGCACACAGTGGGCAATTACATATTGGTTGAATAAAAGGAAGGTTCTGGTACTGTTCCATTTTATGGATTAGGAAACCAAAGCCCATCTGACCCCTCAGACAGAGTCTGGGAAACCTGACTTATTGTAATAAGCACATCAGAAATAAGCTCTCTGAGGCATATATTTAACATTATTCACTTGCACCTAACAGTGAAGTGGTTAAGAGAAATCCTTAGAATCCCTCTCTCAGGGTTTGAATTAAGGCTGTGCCATCCTGTATAACATTGGGACTAGTTACCATTTTGAAGCAATAATAACACCTATCGTTCAGCAAATATTTATTATTGAGAGCCTTCTGTGCACTTGGTACTAGCATTGTTCTAGGATTATTGGGAGGATTGAGATAAATATATGAAGAGTTTTGGCTCCACCTTCTGTCATATTAGCTCAGTAAATATCTGCTATCGTTTTTACTGCAACTCCCTTATCTGTTTCCCCCGGGTGTGACCCATGGACTGGGCGGTGCGTATGTTCCAAATTTCTGCTATCTGTAACATTGGGAGTCTATCTTCTAGAAGCCAAAGCCGTTGCTAGGCCAAGGCAGGCCTCTCATTTTATTTACCCCATTTATTACCATTTATCACTTCTTGTGGAACCTCTCTGTTGATGGAGGTTGAGTTGAAATGCTGGGTCAAGGGTAGGAAAGTAAGGTAATGGCTCAGAAGCCTGGCATCGATGATGTCCTTATGCTACCTCTTCAGGACTCCTTAATTTTTTGAACTTTGCATTGAAAAATAACATACATACGGAAAAATGCAGAAATCATGAGTGTGCAGCTCAGTGAGTTTTTATTGAATAATAAATACATTTTTTGAAAATATATATTTAAAAAATATTTTTAGCCAAAGCCGGTTTGACTTAGTGGATAGAGCGTCGGCCTGCGGACTGAAGGGTCCCAGGTTTGATGCCTTTGTTGCAGGCACATCCTCAGTGGGAGGTGTGCAGGAGGCAGCTGATGGATGTTTCTCTCTCATCGATGTTTCTGACTCTCCCTCTCCCTTCCTCTCTGTAAAAAATCAATAAAAATGTATTAAAAATATTTTTATTTTTTATTGATTTCATAGAGGAAGAAGGAGAGAGAGAGGGAGAGAGGGAGGGAGGAAGGGAGAGAGAGAGAGAGAGAGAGAGAGAGAGAGAGAGAGAGAGAGAGAGAGAGAGAGAGAGAGAGAGAGAAGGAAACATCAATGGTGAAAGAGAATAATCAATTGGTTGCCTCCTGTACACCCGCTATTGGGGATGAAGCCCTGACCAGGAATCAAACCAGGTCGATGCTCAACTACTGAGCTATGCCTGGCAGGCTGAATATCTATACTAATGAAAGGGTAATATGCTTATAAGACAAGATTCTTCCGGACAAAGCCACGGTGGTGGGGGTGAGGCAGAGGCAGCTAGGGGCGATCAGGCCGGCAGACAGAGGCTGTTAGAAGCTATCAGGGAGGTGAACGATTAGGTGCCAGCTGTTCTGAATGGCAAGAGGGATGTCTGACTGCTGGTGCCTAAACTGGCAGTCGGACATCCCCCAAGGGGTCCCAGATTAGAGAGGGTGCAGGCCATCCCCTGAGGGGTTCCAGATTAGAGAGGGTGCAGGCTGGGCTCCCTCCTCCTTCCCCCCCGACACACACACACATAAATTTAGTGCACCGAGCCTCAAGTATTTTATAATTTCTTTCACCTAATCAGCAAATTTTAGAAATAACATGTCAGCCGAAACCGGTTTGGCTCAGTGAATAGAGCGTCAGCCTGCGGACTGAAAGGTCCTGGGTTCGATTCCGGTCAAGGGCATATACTTTGGTTGAGGGCACATCCCCAGTGGGGCGTGTGCAAGATGCAGCTGATAGATGATTCTCTCTCATTGGTGTTTCTAACTCTCTATCCTTCTTTCTTCCTCTCTGTAAAAAATCAATAAAATATATTAAAAATAAAAAAATAAAATAAAAAACATGAGGTAGTTTAAAAAAAAAAAGAAATAACATGTCAATAAGTTTTCTTAGTGAACATGCCCATGTAATCAGCATCCAGATCAAAAAACAACATGACCAGCATCCCAGAAAAACCCTTTCATGCTTCCTTTCAGTTACCTAGGTTACCTTCTATTCAGACTTCTAACACTATTGATTACTTTTACCTGTTTTTGAATGCTATATAAATGGACTAAATATGGTATGTTTTTGATGTCTGACTTCTTTAGTTCATTGTTATTTTGTGAGGTTTTCCCACTTTGTGCTTGGCTTAATTTCATTGCTTTATAATGCTGCTGTGAACATTCTGGCTCATGTATTTTTTTTTTTTAATATATTTTATTGATTTTACACAGAGAGGAATTGAGAGGGACAGAGATTTAGAAACATCAATGAGAGAGAAACATCGACCAGTTGCCTCTTGCACACCCCCCACTGGGAATGTGCCCTCAACCAAAGTACATGCCCTTGACTGGAATCGAACCCGGGACCCTTCAGTCCACAGGCTGACGCTCTATCCACTGAGCCAAACCGGTCCCGGCCTGGCTCATGTATTTTGATGATAAGTATATTTTTCTGTTGGCTAAATTGTATTGGAATTGTTGGGTCAGAGGATACGCATATGTTTAGCTTTAGTAGATACTGCCAGTTTTCCAATTGGTTTTGCCAGTTCACATGCCCTCCAGCAGTGTATGAATTTGGCTGCTCCACATCCTTACCACACTTGGAATTGCCCTAATCATTTTCACGTATTCACCTGTTAGGTGCCAAGTCCTAAGCTGGGTCCTGGGGATACAGTTATGAACAAGATAAACAAGGTCCCAAGATCTCTGCTCTTTTGGAAGACAACATTCGAATGTGGGAAA